AACCATGGGTGCTGGAAAGCACCCGAAACGTCTGGAATTAAAAATCAAAGAAATAAAACGCGATAAAATCGATAAAAATAGTTGTTAAAAAACTGCATTTGTGAAAATAAAAACTTCTATATTTTCAAAACCCCGATGTTTTTTAAAGCAATTCCTTTACCATTTCATTGTTTTAATTGCATATTATCATATCTATATGCTTATATATGTGGGCACTCATGGCCGAAGTGTCTATGAAGAGTGGGCATTCCCCTTTACTGATTTTGCCGACTTTTATTATCGAAAGAGTAAAGGTTTACCTACCATATTTCAATAATATTTAATTAAAATTGAAGTCGCATTATATTTTTTAATAACCTATTTATTTACTGTCACATTACACATCACAAGTTTAGAGATGATTCTATATATGGCCACAAATCCTTAAAATTAAATGTCGACCAGTAAATGGTAAAAACTAAAAAGTACCCATTTGGCACTGGCCTACACTCGTTTCTAAGAGTTACAGAGTTTACGGAGCAGGTTCAGAATTCAGAGCAGAATTCAAATTATTTTTTTTTATGATAGGGTGACAAACGAGCACATAGTCCACTTGATGGTAAGTGGTTGCTGTGGCCCATAGACATCTACATCTATCCTCGATTACGAATTAAAATGCAGATGCGTTGTCACCCGTGAGGACTAAGATGGAATGCCTCATTTCCAGCAAAAAGGGTCTCCGGTTCTCTACACTCACCATACGAAACGCAGCAGCATTAAGCTACTATTTGACGCTGGTATTCTGTGAGAGCGTGGTCCTTCCCCGGTCGAGCCGACCCATTCGTGCTACAACTATACTACTAATATAACTGCAGCATGGCTCTACCACGTATTAAACTTTCTTGTCGCTATCACCAATTTAGTTTCTTCCTTACGGTAAATTATAATTAAAATATAATTAAATAAATTGAACACTATATTCTTCTTGCTTACTAATGTGGAGATAAGGGTGTGATGGAATAAAATAACTTCTAGGAAAGTACTCCGCATATTCGCAAATCGCAACTGATTAGCTTTGCGTCTAACCAACGAATACCCCTCTGTCTTGTTTCTGATGACGTTAATGCTGTTAGTCTTTTGACTCTTACTGGCCGATGGGTCTCAGGACCCGCAGCCTGAAAGGCTGCGGACTGGAAAAGGGTGAATTAAAATCATTCCGCATTGTCTAACAATAACTCTTATTACAGTGTACGGTGCACGTGGGTGAGTTATCTAATGGCCGTCCGAGCAGAAAGTGGCGGGCCCCGGCTCTGACGGCTAACTCGTATCGTTCGATGTTCTGGGCGGTGAGAACCAGGGACGCGGGTACGTCTGCGGACTCGCTGTGTCCCATCCGTTGTACTAACAGTGTTTGTGGCACTAGGTAAATGTGTAGTATCTGTGTATGACAGGTCGGCGAGATTCGGATCGCGGAATCTAACGGAACTTGCCCTCTGTTTGCATTTCATAATCTTATAAAGACACCTAATTTAGTCAGCACAATAACTCGCGGCGGCACCACTTGTATTCAATAATATGGCAACTCATGTGAATGCTTGGATAACAATGATTTAACAGGAAATAGAAGCGTAATCAATAAAATACTTACTTAGTAAGGTACTTCGCTTACATGATTATATTATAGCAAAGATAAAATACATACATAGGTCGGGGAAAAAGTTTGTTCGTATTTTGTTTGTATAAAATTGAAGAAAATATTTTTTGGTTGCACTCGTAAGTATCTGGCTAGTTTTGATATCAGTACATATAACATTAGCTGTGGCCCGCGGTTTCACCAGCGTATATCACGCGTCTGAGTCAAGCAACATAACATGAAACCTATTTCAAGTATTTTAGATAGCAATGTATGTAAAAATTGTGCTGTGTTGTGTGACTGTGTGCTCGTTTGTCAACTTATTCTATAAAAAAATTTATGGAGTACTTTTATCTATCGGCATATATACGTTATAGAGCGAAGTTAAATTTTATCCAACCTCCCTGTCCCTCCCGGGTGAATGTCACCCCCCCCCCTCAATAAGTGTCCTGAAGCGCGTCTTTTTCAGTTTTACAGAAAACCGTACACGATACGTGAAAAGTGTGCTGGTACGAAATGATTCTTGATAAATTTGTTTTCAACCACTTTTACATACAAAAGCGATATCACTTATAGTTTCCGTGCAACGAAATATAAACAGTTTTTATCATTTATCTATTTTTCTTTTGTATGTAATCGTATATGTAAATCACATTTTAATTTTAAATATTTTTTGGCCACAAAATACCTTATTGTGACTTATGAATAAGAAATAAGCATATTATGGTATCGCGGACTTTCATTTAGATAAAGTAAAGATCTCTATTTTTGTTGAACATTGTATTTACGTATCACTATTACGCCAGCGCACACGGTTAAACCATTTCTGGAGCGCTTTTTCTTCAAACTTGCTTAACAAAAATCAATATTTGAAATTAGCTGAGAGGTGTAGGTGTAGCCTAATACTAGATAGCCTATACTATTCGTCATGAATTTCTCTATAATACATACTCGTAAATCGGAATCGGAATTTTCAAATCGGACTGGTAGTTTCAGAGATTACCTCGTTTAAACAAACAAAAAACAAAAACTTTTTCGCTTTATTATATAAGTATAGATGTAGATTAAGAAAAAATAAAAAGTAAAAAAAACATCGATATACAACACGTAACATAATTAATGCACTTTAAGAAATTAGTTTGTTCAGAATCGTTTACTGAATCGATTCCTATCATTTTAATATAGGTAATTTTTTATCCCAAAAATAAGTAAAACTACGTAAATTACAGTCACACTAAATCTGTACAGTTAAAACAAACTGAAATGGACCGTAACTTAAGGCAATAAGACTTTTAAGAGTGCAGTTTAATTTGTATTATTACTAATTCTGTCATTCAATAAAAATAAAGAAAAATGAACTTTATTTCAAACACATTAAAGTCTTTGCGTTCGTGGATTTGTACTGTGACCACAACATTCTTCCGGAATTAGTATAACTAACTTGATAAATAGTGCATAAAAATGTTTAAATAAAAATTCAGTGTATGTACTATGCATAATGATTATAACATAATATACTAATTGGGGTGTCTGAGGGTGTGCGTTAATTACGTTACATATTGTATGTGTACTACGCACTAGATTTCGCATTCCGAACACTCACTATGTTCAACTGAACTGTACTGCAATCCGTACACCTGTTATTGTTGCTTCGATATTTATGCAGTGCGGAGCGGCGCTAATAATAATTTTATATTAAATTACCACATATGCAAATACAATCTATATAAACAATTATTTATTATGACAATCTTCGTGCGTTTATATGAACTGTGCATGCGCGACCGACTCTATTGTCTCCCGCGCATACGCGAAGACAGAGTAGTGCACACTTTTTGTTTGGAATAGCTTCTCTAGTACGTAGTACCACAGAATAAATAATAGTACGACGTAGTAGTACATGTAACTCAATGGTAAAAAACACTTTCCCGCCATTTTTTCATTTTTTTCTGTCCACCAAAATGAGTAAATCTAACGAAAAAGTTCGATATATTTAAGTTTCGTTACATAAAGGGAATAAAAACCGGCCAAGAGCGTGTCGGGCCACGCTCAGTGTAGGGTTCCGTAGTTTCCCGTCCGTCACAATAAGTGTTCCCACTTATGAGTTTAAAGGTGGGTATCCATTATGTTCGCGCTCCAGCAGCGCTCCGCGCTCCTGCAACTGCTCCCGGTAGTGGGTAATGTTGTTTCCATCCAAGTTCAAAATTATTATCCTAGAAAGTCCTTATAAAGTTCTACTCCTCAGATTTTTTTCATATTTTCTAAACTTGTGGTTCAAAAGTTAGAGGGGGGGGACACATTGTTTTTTTAGTTTTGGAGCGATTATTTCCGAAATTATTGACATTATCAAAAAATGATTTGGTAAACCCCTATTCATTTTTGAATACCTTTCCAACAATATATCACACGTTAGGGTTGAAATTAAAAAAAAATCACTTCCCACTTTACATATAGGGGCTACCCTAATAAAACATTTTTTTCCAATTTTTATTTTACCACTTTGTCGGCGTGATTGATACACATATTAGTACCAAATTTCAGCTTTCTAGTGCTAACGGTCACAGAGATTAAGCGAGGACAGACAGACGGACAGACAGACATGGCAAAACTATAAGGGTTCCTAGTTGACTACGGAACCCTAAAAATGCAACTCAAACAGTTTTTTTAAAGTTTAATATATATATATATATATATATATATATATATATATATATATATATATATATATATTTTTTTTTAATGCATTGTGGTAAGATCGGTGATGGGGTAAGACCGTAAAATTCAAATTCGATATTTTTGTAGCAATATGGTACAAGACTCCATTTTATTCTGCCCCGACCCCAAGTTCCAGCCAGTCGCTCGGAAAAGTAGGGCGTGTGCTGCGCAGTATTTTATAAAACAAGGTATTTTTTGTATTTTTTTTCGTCCGTCCGGTGTTTCCCTATCACTTTTATTTGCGATTTTTAGCGACGTCCGGTCTTACCCCTTGATGGCCAATACTTCATCATGCATATAAAAAATTATGCCTTGTCTTCGCACACGTTTTAAGCAGAAACTGTTGAGTTTTGAAAAGTAAAAGTTTCTTATAGCTAAATGACATGTAAACATTAACGATTTGCGCCATGTTTCAGAAATCTGACGTATATGGATGTCGAGAAAATAAAGTCTATAACACTCATTAAATTTTCTCTAAAAACATACCTTATAAAACATTATATCTAATTAAACAGATCAATATTAATTAAATTGAAGTGTTCTGTAAAATTGCTATGCAACAATCAATAGGTATTTAATTTAATATTCATTCAAGCTTCAATAAAAACACAATTCTTGTTTATGTTTAATGAAACAGAATATTTATGGAAGCAATTCTTATAAATAGCATTACCTGTATATAGTTCACCCGGTAGATACAAATCAGGGTCACCTGAGATGCTCAATCGGTAGTGCCGGTCGGCTGGCTGAGCGTGAGGCGGTGCGCGCTCGCACTTTGTCGTAGGAGGTGCTGGCGTACAAAACGCACCCGCTAGCAAACACAGACTTACGAACAACAACATGTCTTCTAATCCTAGCAGTCACGCTACGCTTTAGTAGATAACGGTAGTCCTGTGGATAAGCGATCGCTATTTTCACGCCTTGCATTGTATACAACATGTTTTTTTTTTTATTGGACAACACAACAGATTACATGATGACCTAAAGGTATAACTTACAATAATAATGGTGAGATACAAGACATAAATCCTTGTACGTGTTATCACGGCATGCCAAGATTGAGAAAAAAACATTTTAAATAAAATTGCTTAAACTAACAGGCTCACAATCACAAATCCAACAAATCAAGATATGATAATAACATGTAACAAAAACCCTGTGGTTCCCATTAACTGCGTTATCAGAATCAGTATCCAAGCGTATAGTAATTTTTTCTTCATAAAAACACATTTCAAACAATTAATTTTAATGAAAAAAAAAATTTTTGCAAATTGTATGTGGTTTTATTTCCTCTAACACGAGTATCGGTAATGAGGGGTCTTTGACATTCCTCTTACTCCTCGGCCAATGCAGAGATACGAGGGCGGCACTGAAAATTTCGGGATTCAAGAAAGTGACACAACATTACTATTTAATAATAAATGTATTTATTGCTTTTCGAAGTATTCTCCGCGAAATTTGACACATTTTTCCATACGATGGTACCAATCATTGAAGCAACCATTCCATTCGGAAGTTGGGGTCTCCAAAATGGCCGTTTTATAGGAATCCACAGCTTCTTCAGGTGATGAAAATCTCTGTCCACGCAATTTATTCTTTATTTTAAGGAAAGTATAGAAATCATTAGGGCTTAGGTCGGGGCTGTACGGCGGATGGTCTAATAATTCTATGTTTTCTTGTTCGAAAAACTCTTTTGTTCTGTGTGCTGTGTGAGAACTCACATTGTCGTGATGGAGGATAATGCGGCGGTTGCAGTTCTCTTTACGGAGTTCAGAAACGACATGTGGCAAACAAATGCTAGCATATCATTCTGCATTAACCGTTCTTTATCCCTCAAGAGGAATAGTCGTAACATGGCCGTTTTGGAGACAAACGTGGCCACCATTTTTTTTGCAACACTCCGTGAACGAACAATTTTTGTTGGCTTTAACTCATTTTCGAACAACCAAACTCGTGACTGGTTTGATGATTGATGATTGACCTGATACGATGTTGTATACAGCATTTGAGGATCACACTTCATAGAGCGAATGCGGTATCCATCGGGAAAACAACTTTTTTACACCTAATTGTTCATGCAAGATTATTTGTATTTGACTCATGCCAATGTCTAAAGTTGCTTGAATTTCGCGGTATGTCACATGTCGATCTTCCTCAATCAGCTTACGCACAGCATCAACGTTTTCTTGGGTGACTGCAGTTTTTGGACGACCTCTACGGGGATCATCACTGAGCTTGACACGTCCACGTTGAAATTCAGCAAACTAGCGATACATTGTGCTTTTGGATGGGGCTTCATGACCAAATGCAGATATCGTCCGGTCAACACACTGTTTTTGTGTTAAACCACTTCGAAAGGCATAATAAATCATCGCTCTTGAATTTTCTCGAGTCAATTCCATTTTCTCAACGACTAAGACTAGACCGACAATCTTTTTTTAAATAAATAAATGGTATTCGATTTTTAAAACCAAGGAGTTTTCAATTAAAAAGATTTTAATATGACAGGAACAGTGAAAATATTCCATTCCCGATACTTTTAGTGCAGCCTAGTAATAAAACCACTAACAATTTGCAAATTATTTTTTTTCATTAAAATTATTTTTAAATGTGTTTTTTTGTTAAAAAATTATTTCAATACGCTTGGATACTAATTCTGATAACGCACTTCATACACTCTAATAACATTTGGGTGTTAAGACAAGCGCTATTTATGTAGGCTCCGGCAGCCGGGTTGTCAAAAACTTGAGTAATATTTCATTAAATAGAATAATTAATTTTAAAACCTTAAAGCAGAGTATTACTAGTTCACTCTGGTAATATTGCGATTATTACTTTTTGTATATTTTTAAATACGTAAAAACGTGTTAAATATTTTCCTATTAGGAGGACAATACTTTAAAATTGTAACAAAGTTATGATAAATTTTTTAAAAAGCGGTAGAAACGACACAGGCTTAGGCACAGGCAGAGTATAAAGCAGAAAAGTTTAAAGAGATTTCTATAAAATAAAGAAAAATGATTAAAATACATTGAAATATTTTTGAGCAAAAACTCTTTGACTTAAAATATTTTTATTTTCGCGCAAAAACTCTTTGACTATTTGCTGTAAATTTTAGTTGTAACAATCATATCGTATATAATAGATATGAAATCAATATAACACAAGCAATACAATTTTAAATAGATCTTATTATTCAAAATTTGCTATATGAACTTTATAACGCTAAAAACCTAATTAATATTTAATATAAAAATGAAATAACTATTATTTCTAAAACATACATCCAAAAGACCTCATTTTAAAATCATTTTTGTTCTTCTTCCTCTTAATGGAATCTAGACTCCTTTGTTTTTACATGTTGAGTAGATACTACTAGTATTTCTACAACAAAGGATTCGTATATTATTGGCTATGACGTAGACACGAATGAAAAAAGGTCACTTACCTATTTATTTACTAAAATTTCCGATTATAATACTCTTATTACATTTTGTAGTAATGAAATCATAATCAATTACTTAACAAGCAGTTTAGAGTTAACAATTATCCGCCCGCCCGCCCTACGCGCCCTCACGGCATCAACTGCGTCAGGGAAACGACGAGACAGGGCATGTTGTTACGGAGTATCAGTAACTGTGCCATTACATTGTTTCATTTTATGTGTATCGCAATTAGAATGCTAAGCTTAATTGCAGTTCCCGACTTCAGCTTACAAAAAAGTCGGTCAATGATGGATTAAACACCTCATAACGCAGATGGCATACCTTAAATATTTTATTTGTTAAGAATATAATAAAATGCTGAGATATGCCGGACATATATCATAGCTTCCTACAGATGATATTATATCCATCTTTTTTTACTCCAGAAGTAGAATAGGTACTCAAATAATCGAAAGCAGCGTCAAAAGTGCGAGGCGTCTGCGGTCATCAATCCACCTGTTAAGTCTGGCGAATGGTGATTATAGCAGTTCTTTTCTTGGAAAGCGGTGTGATGAAGAAAAATAATGAAAACTTTTTTCTATCTTCAATAACTAAGCACATCCTTGAGAGCACTTTGATCCGCCGTCTTATTTAGGTAAATTCAGACGGTGTCTGTCTGTCTGCAATAATGGTCTGTAGTGCAATAACTATATTTATGTAGTAAACAAACCTACTTTATGAGTGTGAGGGGGATCTAACAGCTTTTCCAAATCCACATATCACCTGCACGCTTTGCATTCTACTATTTAACAAGTGTAGTGGCTGCCTAAGGCAATCTAGTGCCCTTTACTATTATCCTGAAATGAAACAGGAAATACGCAGCAGCATTTTCGTGAAATTATAAAAAACATCGGTTGTAAATCCGCTTGCCAAGCATGCCAAGTATAGCAAAGTAGACCTTTGTTCAGCAGTAGACTTTTGATGAAATGTATTAATGAAATAAATTAACAAACGAGACTGGCGATCGATACATGACGGGATCCTTTTTAAACGGCTTCAAAAAAGGAGGTGTTTAACATTCGACTGTTTTTTTGTATGTATCTTGATGTTAACCGATTTTGATGATTCCTTTTTTATTAAATAAGTTGTACTCCAGTGTTCGCCCCACATAAATTTGGTGAAAAAATTATAACTCTAACAGCGGAAAAAGACTAATTGTTCTTCGAATGTTTTATTATTGAACTCTCAGATCCAGGGCCTGATTTACCCACAGGCTAACCGGGCTGGAGCCTGGAGCGCAATGTCCGAAGGGGCGCTTAGTTTACTTTTGCAAGCATCACTTATGTTTTGATATAATAATAACACTAACTTACTGACTCATCACGAGATCTATAAAACTATACACACGATTGACTTGAAATTTTGGTATTGTTACCAAGAACGAATTTTACGATAGTCCCCCATCAAAAAAAATCAATAGGTTAGCGAGTGGGTCTCAGCTAGGAATTGAATATGTACCGCAAGTATTTCATTTATTGCTCTTTCCTTATTTTTGGTACAAAAAAATAGATTGTAAAAGATAGTCTTTGAATTATTTGGTACCTTTCATCTTTCGTTGACCTGACTGGACGTGATTCAAAGATTATAAAACTCGCAGCTAATAAGTAACCTTAAGAACCACTACTCGATTAACTTCTTAATAAATAATCAGCTGGTGCTAGTTCTACCTTCTGACTAACCTGACTTAGATGAGCAAAAGCGGTAGCGTCCAAGAGGCCCATCGAAGGCCTTCACTATATCTAAAGGTCTTGGTTGTTACTTTGGATATAGTGAAGGCCTTGGATATGCCTTGACACAAAGCGCTTCTTTAAAAGCTTCTTTCCTATGGGGGGCTTTTCGAGAAGTTTTGCAATTGAATCATCAGTTTTAGTAGACGTTGCATACCTATTAATGCTATTGTTCCACAAGGCTGCGTGCTCTCATCTATGCTGTTTCTTTAGTATATCAACTAGATGTTGCTGCTACTGGTTGTAACACTGGTTGATGCTATTACACCGGTTGGGGACGACTCTAGTCCAGTCGAATTTCAGAAGACACAGGCTTGTGCGTTTACCCCTAAAATGAACCCCTTTGTCGTGTCTTCTTAATTTCAAGGCACTTCTCATGCTGCCTCACCCAGCATCGGAATTCTCGGCATCGATATATCGAATGACGTGTATATATATATATATATATATAGTTCCACGGTTGCTTGAAAGGGAAGGATAAATTGCCCTCTATAATGCTTGGCATGTTCAGTAAAGCAGAACTGTCCCGCTCTATTGAACATGCCGACACACTGCTTGCAAAATTAAAAGCGCAACTTCGCCCTCACATGGAGTACTGTTCTCATGTCTGGACCGGAGCACCCCAATGCC